CCCTCACCACATTCTCCAGTGGGGCTCAGCTCAGGTCCTGGACGGGAACGTCCACCAGCCCCAGTGCCAGGAGGGTGTACAGGGGAGCGGCGTTTTGGTTTAGGGGATCAAGGTGTCCTTTGAAGGACATGAAGGCTGCTTTTCAAGCCCATGATGACGGCTCCCCAGGGAAGGAGGGTAGACAGAGAGATGGGGTTGTCCTTTCCGATCTGGGTAACTTTGAATAAGTTACTTAATCTCTCTGGGCCTCAATATCCGCATCTATACAGACGGGGAGATGATGCATACCTCATGTTGTTGTGAAGACTAACAATTACTGTTCCCTGAACTTACTGTAAGAGCTCGGGGCTTTGCAGACAGTGTCCAATGAGAGAGCAACAGAGACAGAATCGGAGCTTGAACCACCGCCAGATCAAAAGGACAAGCAAAACTGCAAAAGATGACAAAAATGGTAGCCGTCGCTCTCTACCGAAAGTGCATTTAGACCTCAAAACCTTTGTCCTGGTAGGAATTGAAAGTGGAAAAAAAAAAAAAAAAGACCTTTTTGTCCCCCCTCCCCTCCCCGAACAAGAGTAAATAGCTGTGACAGGAAGTACAATGGTGCAGGAGTGGCAGGGACACCAACAAATTGTGCCTCATTTTCCATAGACCGCCTTAGTTCTGGGAAGTGGCTGCCCAGCCAGGGATTACACGTGCCATCCCCGCAGGTAGGAGGACTATGCAATAGGTTCCCCTAGGGAAGGCGATTCGAAATGACACGAGTCCCTGGACAGTCAAGAGGGTTAAGAAGAAGGTGTGCAGAGCCAAAAGATAAAAGCAACCAAAGTGTCCCTTAATGGAAGCATGGATGAATGAAGTGTGGTGCGTAGTTATGAGGGGTGGCATTCGCCCTTCCAGAGGACGGAGATGCTAACAGGTGCTGCCACAATTCCCTGAGAACGAGATGGGGGAAGGTTTCAGAGCTCGGCTTGGTTTGGGGCTGAGAAGACGTTTGTGCTGAGGGCTCACCTGCAAGTCCAGCAGTTCCCACAGACTGAGTCACAGCCCCTTGGCTGCGAGGATTCCAAGGACTCTGCTACTGAGGAAACCCAGGGAAGTTTGCCTCCGTGGAAGGCACATCACTCATTCTCGGAAAGGAACTGGCTCTGGGCTCAGGGTAAAGGAATGCAGGGGGAGAGGGGACGGTGGCTCTGTCTGCGGAGGCCACTTGGGCACCCAGGCCTGCATGCTCTCCTAGGCCAGCCTGCCCAGGGGGACGCTGCTCCTGTGGCTCCTGATGGGAGGCCGCCTTAGCGGAGGCCAGCACTGAAGGGGCCAGGGATTGTCCTGTCTCGTACTCAAAAGTGGGACCTGCACTGGAGCTGCCGGCTGTACCACAGGCCCCAGGATCGGCAGCGAGGGGAGGCCCGGCCTCGGGGGTGTAGAAGGGGTGAGGTGGGAGCCACCAAGACAGGCTCTGGGGCTCAGACGGGGACATGGAATTATAAACTGGTGGCAACCGCAGCAACCAGACTAGCTGGGTGTCCAGGCTCCGGCCCCTCTGGTGTCGGGGGCCATCCAGCACCCCTGGCAATGACTGAGGGGACTCCCAGCCCGAAGTCATGCACTCAAATTGACTCTCGTGGCCTAAAAGACCAGGAAGGACCCTTGGGTTTCAGATAATCATTCGGAGCCCTTGACTTCTTGGGCTCATCACAGGACAGTGACCCTGGGAAAGAGAGGAAGTCGTGCTGACAACAAGGGGGAATGAAGCTGAGCCAAACTGTGGAGCCGAAAAAACAGACGCAATCTCATTTCGTTATCAATTTTGCAAAGAATTTGCTGTTTTAATGAATCCAAGCAATTCAAGGTTAGCTGTAATGACAATATTCTTATGCGCATTCGTCCTGGGCTCCCAAGCTGGAGAAGCAGAGATGGGCTTAGGACCGGGGAGCCGGGAATTGCACACGAATCTGACAGTTGTGTCAAAATCCTGCACCATCTACAGGGGTGAGTCATGCAGGGAAAGGTCACGTGAGTTGCATTAAAATAAAGGCTGAGAATGATGGGTTGTCACAGGTCGTTTTCAAGGGATTCAATGTTTGTTAAGTGCACGCATGCCCCTCTCTCCCTTATTCCAGGTTAAGACCACCAGACTCTCCCGCAGTGGCCATCAGCGCCGCAATTGGCCCCAGTATTCCTTGCCCCAGGCCTTGACCACGTGACACGCCACCAGACTCTGAGGCACTGGGAGATGACAAACACACAACACTCAAGGAAAAGATAAAGTGCAGACGCTGCCTTTTCCTTGCACCTCCCGTCTCTCGGAGTCTCTTGGAGTCAGCCTTCCATCTTCCTACAAGGTGGCGTCTGGTTTTCTCTCCAACCCTGGGCTAATGTTTGCCTTTGCTTTCACTAAGGCCAAAGCGGAGTGTGGGAACCCTGCCCCCCGCCTGGGCCCGATCTAAAGAGAGCTGTCGAAGCTTTCCTGGGATTTTCTGAATTCTTGTACAACCTCAGCCGGGGCCTGGTACAAAACCCTGTCGATAAGCATTGATAAGCACCCTGCATTTGAAGGGGTGCCAAGGCCGCCTGGGCCTCGTGCTGCTTCCTGGGAGCTGGTCCCAGGGCCGAGGCTGAGCCGGCCTCGGGCAGGGCCCCGCGGAGAGTGGAAACCCTTAGGAAAGGGAGGCCTGTCCCTCGCCAATCAGACAGTGACTCAGAGCTGCCAGTCTGGAATCCCAGTTCCCCCAGCATGACTAACACCGTCCTCCCCACCCGCTTGCCAGAAGGATGCACACTGCTCCAGCTGTCGGTGCTCACCTTTGTGGGGAGCACTCACTGGGCCGTGAGCATAGCCTGCCATCCCCTTCAGCGCCACGGTGGGCTGGTGCCTGCGGTGACTTAGGGTCATTCCAAGACCTGCCTGCTCCCTCTCCTGTCCCTCCTGCCCTCTTGCTGCCATGAGAACGGGCTGAGCTATCCCTGACCCCGGGGCTTGAGCAGCGCTGCAGGGAGGCCGGGCTGGAACGAGGGTAACTGGGGACTCATCATGCCTGAACCCGTTCTCAGGCCCACTTCCCCGGAGGCCAGCGCCGCCAGATAGCTACATGTGATTGGGCGGACGGTGACAGTGGGCTTACGTGCCAGGGCCACCCCGGCTCCTAGTCTCTGCTTCCACCAGACTCTTTCAGTGTGAGTCACTTTGCCATCTGTGCACCGACCTCAGTCTGCACCTGCAACTCAGGCCTTTGCCTTGATTTCCACCAAAACCAGACTAACCACCCATGCAAGACCTTCGTGTGTGTAGCCCACTCTGGGCAAGGGCTGCTTAGGCCCCAGGCTGCTGCAGCAATGCAAACCACTTCAAACAGCATCTTTGATCTTTAATGATCCTCTTTGAGGCCACCCTCACCTCTGGTGATGTCTTGCTGGCCGGACCACCCCATGTTGCTAACTGAGCTCCTGTTTCTCAAAAGAGCAGTTCATGAACCACCTGCACCCGAATCACTAATGTAGGAGTGGAGGGTCTCCTGGGGCAGAGTGTGTGTGAGTGTGTGTGTGTGTGTGTGTGTGTGTGTGTGTGTGTGTGTTAAAGAGAGATGAGGGGATCCCTGGGTGGCTCAGCAGTTTGGCACCTGCCTTTGGCCCAGGGCGTGATCCTGGAGTCCCGGGATCGAGTCCCACGTCGGGCTCCCTGCATGGAGCCTGCTTCTCCCTCCTCCTATGTCTCTGCCTCTCTCTCTCTCTCATAAATAAATAAATAAATAAATAAATAAATAAATAAATATCTTAAAAAAGAGAGAGAGATGGGAAGAGGTGTGTATTTTTGGCTTGGCTTATTTTGGTTTTTTTGTTAGAACACTTATTTACAAGTGAATTTGTACATTTAGAGATGTGTTCCCACGCTATTCACAGTGTCCACTCATGAGTGACCCCTTGGATCATATCCACAAAACCAATAGAGTTGAAAGGAACAACGAATGCCATCTAGTTCAGGGGTCCGCAAGCATTTTGCTTGCGTACCTCTTTCAAAGAATTTTGAAACCTTATGTGCACCCCCTTAAGCATTTGTGGGTTGGTATCTAAAATTTTTCATCTTAAGTTTAAATAGCTGCAGAAGATTAAATTCCATGGTAAATGTGAAATATTTTAACAGTTTAAGCATTTTGAAATAACTCTTGTCACTCATTTAAACGTATCTAAGTAGAATTTTATTTTATTTTTTTTTTTTTTAAATTTTTATTTATTTATGATAGTCACACAGATAGAGAGAGAAGCAGAGACACAGGCAGAGGGAGAAGCGGGCTCCATGCACCAGGAGCCCGATGTGGGATTCGATCCTGGGACTCCAGGATCACGCCCTGGGCCAAAGGCAGGCGCCAAACCGCTGCGCCACCCAGGGATCCCCTAAGTAGAATTTTAAATGTGATAGCAATTCATACCCGCCATTATCCTTTTAAAAATACAGTGAATGAGCTCTTCGTTAGGTCAGAAATTTTACATTATTTCCTTTCCTCCTTGAATTTATATTTCCATTTCCCTTCCCCTATAGAACTTTATCCTGATATAATATTACATTTATGATTAAAAGCTTATATTAATCATCTTATCACATTTCTCTTAAAATGTATATAAATGCAAATCTAATTTCTTTTTCTGGGGTCAGAAAGCTCTAATGCTATGCCATCCAATACGGTAGCCACTAGCCACAGGTGGCTATTTACATTTTTTAATTAAATAAAATTTAAATTTCAGCTTTTCATTCCCACTAGCCACACTTCAGGTGCTCAATAGCCGTGTGTGGCACATGGAATCGCACGGGACAGAGTAAACAGAAAACATCTCCATCATTACAGAAAGTTCTATTGAATAATGCTGGTCTGCAGCCTGAAAAATTTGTCTCCCAGAATTAGTCATCATTACAATTAATAGTAACACACAATTCATCAAAATAACATAAATGTATCATCTGTTTATTGACACATTTGGGTAAGATACTATGACCCCAAAAGGTAAAATTTTATTAGAAATGCCTCTCTTGGGGATCCCTGGGTGGCACAGCGGTTTAGCGCCTGCCTTTGGCCCAGGGCGCGATCCTGGAGACCCGGGATCGAATCCCACGTCGGGCTCCTGGTGCATGGAGCCTGCTTCTCCCTCTGCCTGTTTCTCTGCCTCTCTCTCTCACACTGTGTACCTATCATAAATAAATAAAAATTAAAAAAAAAAAGAAATGCCTCTCTTAATGAGACGGTTAGTGCTTTTTTGTTTTTCATGCATCCATGGATGAATATTACTTTCTTTAGAATGAGCACAGTTTCCACATCAATTCTTATCCTTAATTCTCACTTTTAAAAATACAAATGCCAAGAAAATGTGCTCAGAATGGACGTGTCTTATGGTAGTGGTATTATTTGATTGTGTGAACTCTTTCTGAGGAGTGCGCCCAACCTCACACATAATGACAAGACTACTGTTAGTGATTTATCATCTGATATTAATAAATATTTATTAGTTTCTCCTTCACCTTTGCTAAAATGATGGGATAATGCCTGATTTGCCAAAGGATCTGTAGTCCAGTCACTAGAGTAGTTCACTTACTCAGCCTTAACCAAAGCTTTGAATTGTCTCTTTGATTGGAGTTGAAGATTTTTACAAATGACAAGATGACGAGACGGGCCGCACCCTTCTTCTGCAAAACATGGGGAAAGGACATCTTCTGTAAGAGAAAGGGGGAGAGCCACCCAAACACAGGAGCAATCACAGGGACACCAGCTTTAGCAGAAGAGGACATCTCAATGTGAGCATCTAGAAATGGATGTCTTTAAGGTCACCTGCAGTGCAACCCGTTAGAATGTCTTCGCGGTCCCTGGCATATGCTCACCCCAGTTTACAGACCGCTGCTCCAGAAATCGCAAATGCTCCTACACTCAGCTCCACTCAGCCCTCACCTTCCCCTCTCTCAGCACCTGCATTTTTTTTTAATCCAAATACATGAATTTGTTTGATGCAATTATGGGCCTATTGTTTCTTTCTCTCTTTTCTTTCTTCCAATATTTTATACTTAAAAATGATCCACATATCTCTTTATTTAAATAAGATGTATACACACAGTATATCATAATAAGCATAAATTTATCTATAAATATATATGTGGTATATAATAATTAGCCCACCACCCTAGTTAAGAAGTGGAACAATCCCAAATGACCTTAGCGTCTCACTTTCCTTCCTGGGTACATGATCGAATTGTACTTCCCCACATGGCCATGTGACTTGCTCTGGCCAATAGAATGCAAGCAGAAGCAATGAGCTCCACTTTGGGATGGCCTTGAAGGACATGATTTGTCGTGTTCCCTCGCGCCGCCACCCTTACCAGAGACACGGAGGCCTCCTTAGCTGGCCCATAATGAATCTTTTCTGTCCTTAAGCCATTAAGATTTCAGCTCCGGCTTATTATTGCGGCATAACTGAAACAGAAACATCTCTGAAACTTTACATGTGGCCCTCAGCAATGGTATTCCAGGGACAACCACCATCCTTGCCTTTTCTTAAGGTTTTACCACATATTTATATTCCTTTTTTTTTCATATTTATATTCCTAAAAAATATTTGTATGTGTTTTTGAACTCTATGAATATGAAATCATATTTTGCTTTTTTAAGGTGTTATTTGTGAGATTCATCAATACTAAGGATACGCCACAACTTATCCATTCTACTATTAATAAACAGTTAAGTTGGGTTTCTTCACTGTTAAAAACAATGCCTCTCTGATTATGCTTGTACATCTGCTGGCATAGATATATAAAATTTTTCTAAAGTAGCAGTTCTCAAAGTGTGGTCTGGAGACTTCTGGGAACCTCTAAGAGACCTTCTCAGGGGCATCTACAAAGTCAAAACTATTTTCATAATAATAAGATGTTATTTGTCTTTTTAAACCTCCTTCTCACACAAGAGATTGATGGAATTTTCCAGCAGCTACATGACAAGAGATATCACAACACACTGATGCAGACGCAGCTGAAAATGCCCGTCTTCTATGAAATCCGATTTGTAAGACCATTGAACAATGTCACTCTTCCCACTAATTTGCTTTGTTTTAGAAAATATAGTTATTTATTTAAATATATTAAATAAATTATTAATAAATATATTTATTTATTAAATATATTATAAATATATTAATTTATGTTGGTATGCTACAGCTCTATCGCTGTTACTCTTAAATGAATTAATGATTTTTAAAATTTTTAGTATTAATTTCTAATATAATAAATATCCTTATTTGGTGTCCTCAATGATATTTCAGAGTGCAAAGGGGTCCCGAGACCAAAAGGCTTGAGAACTGCTGCTTTAGGATATGTAGCTACCAATGGAATTGCTGGGTTATAGTTTATGTACATCTTGGACTTTCCTAGATAATGTTACAAGAGTCTTCCCAAGTGGTTGTATCAACTCCCTCTCCTGTGAGCAACACACGAGAGTTCCTACAGGGGCACAGGTGCTCTACTACCTCAGAAAGCCTTGTGAAGGGGGTGGGTTGAGAAAGCATCCGTTTCAGGAGTGCCTGGGTAGCTCAGTCAGTCAAGCATCAACTCTTGATCTCAGCTCAGGTCTTGATCTCAGGGTTGTGAGTTCAAGTCTCCCCCCACAACCTTCCCCGTTGGGCCCCATGCTGGGTTTGGAGTCTTGTTAATAAATAAATAAGTAGCAGAAAGCATCCACTTCTTCCTTCTGTCTCCCTCTACCCAACCAGTTCTCCAGGTGAACCAGAGCTGAGGTCAAAGCAATTGGGAGATGCCCCCAACTCATTGAGGACAGCTGTGGGTTGCAGTTCTGGAAAGGAGAAGGGATTATTGCCGCCTGGTGGTTTGTTTCTACTCTTTGGGTCTCATAGGAACCGTGTTGCTTTTAGATCTTCCTGCGACTAAAAATGGTCACAGTTTCCCCCTCCTCATTAAGCCCCTGGGCTCCCCCACACACACCCAAGCCTTCCTCCCCAGAGTTCACCTTGCTGAAAGTGTCAGGGAGGGCAGATTTCTGCACGCCCTTGAGAGTCTTCATCCTGTCTGGCCCCGAGGAGGCCCTCACAGGCCCCCTGGCTGTACTGGGCTGCAGAGGAGTTTCCCAAGAGAAAAAGTGAGCTTCCCAGGCCGGGCCTGGAAGAGAGAACCGAGAAGGCCTGTTCCTGCCTCGGGAACACAAGGAGGCAAAGCTGAGTTTCTTGCATTCTCTTATCCCAGTGTGTTCCCTGGTGGGGACCACGAGCAGCTTATAATATTCTTTCTTTAAACACGAGCACAAAAAAATAAACAAACAAACAAACACGAGCACACGTACACTTGGGGAAAACCGCGCTCACGGGAGGTAGGCCAACCGTGGGTACAAGAGCCTGGAGGGATAAAAACTCTCCTGATTTTCAGAAGAAACATGCAAGGGTTGTTTCCAGGAAAAATGCTGCCGGGTTGCGTCCACTCCCTTCAGTGCCCTCGTCCCTCCTCCCTTCCCACAGACCTACTTCCGTCATGAGTTGGCAGCAGCGTCATTCCTCTGCCCTGGGAGCCCTGCCAGGGCCCTCCCATGTTCCGGAGAGGTTCTCTTCCATTCCTAAGCAGAGCTGTTTAAAACCGGATGCCACACGGCGCCTGGGCTCCTTGCCCTTCCACCCCCTGCCCCCTGGCCCCATGAGCAGTCCCCCCCTCCCTTCACCATTCTTGACTTTGGAGTCCAGGGTGTAACTGAAGCCAACCTCCTTCTGTGGGGCAGACAGGCACAGGCTCCCGGCCAGGGCCTGGAAGCTGCCAGAGGAAATTTCGCCTGGCGGTGAGGCTCCCAAAGGCTTTCCAGCCACCTCGGCCCCCCACTACCTTCTCCGACCTCCACAGCAGGAATCCCGAGGCCGGGATTAGATGGCTCATCCAGCCAGGCCCTCGATCGGGCCAGATTTAAGCCACCACGAGTACAGGGAGACACCCAGTTGATCAGAAACAACCGAAGGCGGGTCTAGAGCCTCCATTCACTTAGCTTGAATACATTAGCCTTTGAGCAGAAGGTGCCCATTCATGCTTGGATTGGTGCGTCCATTCGTTGGCTCCCCAACGACGCGGCCAGGCCTACGGCCTACTGCTCTTCACAGTTCTGCGGCCCCAGGGACCCTATGGACCGAGGCCGTCAGGAGTTTCCTACAAAGGAAGGAATAGGAAGTCATCGGAAATATGACCACAGAAAGAGACCTTAGGAGGCTGCTGGGTGCCAGAGGACGGCGGTGCCCCTGACCCTGCTGCAGTCCTGCGGACGCACAAAGAGCTCCCTAGGCCTGAAGCCCAGACCCGGCAGGCAGCAGGGCCGGAAACCCGGGCAGGAGAGTGACAGCCAGTGGAGTGGGAGGTTGGGAACGTGGCTTTGGATCTCCCCCAACACATGTGTGGGAGGAGGTGGGCCATCTGAGGCTTCGGGAGGGCCTGGGCCCAGCAGCCACAGATGTCACTGCTCATGTCTGGGGAGCAGCTGGCAGTCGGAGGGTCTCGCCAGGCTGGGGCAGGGGCCTTGGCCTCCCGGCCTGGTGCTGCTACTCTGGTTGTCACAGGGGCCATGACACCATGATAGCCACAGGTCAGCCATGCTGACGGGAATGGGGGGGCCCCAAAAAAGATGCAACCGCTGCCTTCCTCGAGAACTGTGGTAATGTCCATGTGTCTCCAAATTGAACTCGGTTTTCCACGGCCAACCAGTCCTCTGTGTGGGGAGGTTCCCTCACTGTTTCTGATTCCCGTTCCTTGAGCAATGCCGCCACCATTTTGCTTCCGGTGTCTCTGCTTCAGCTTATCGGTCACATGAACAATGACCTATAAATACACTTTCATTCATTCGGCAAACACACCCTGGGCGGCAACCATGTGCCGGGCCCTGTGCAGGCCATGGAAAATGCTGGAAAGGCAGGGTCTTTCCCTGCAGGTTGTAGTGGAGGAGGCAGGCACAGCACACGGCCGAGAAAGGCTCTCCTGGAGGGAATCACTGGGCTGAGAGCTCTGGGGCCCCCAGCAAGGGCCCTCCTTCACCACGTGTGGCCTCGAGAGCCCTTTCGGGGTCCAGTGCACTGCGCTCCATGCTAGGATCTCAAGGGCCTCAGTGCAGGAGGGACAGTGAGCTCATTGGACATGAATGAATAGAAGGTTCTAAGGCCGGCACCTGATGGGGAGCGGGAAGGATGCAGGAGCTTAGGATCACAGCAAACTGCCTGTGCAAAGGCTGAGAGGCTGGAAAGAGCAAGGTTCACAGCAAGGCCTAGGCACATTGCCAGGGCTGGAGGCCACGCCAAGTGGAGTTTGGACCCTGACCTATAATAAGCAAGACGGAACTGCGGAAGGTTTTTAAAGCAGGGCATGACCTGATCAGATCTGAGAGCTGCACTCACACACACACCTCTAAACATATATTTATATATTTACACACATTCGCACTGTAGACACGTATGGATACCGCTGAAGTAAAATTGATGAAAATATCTAAAATTCCTCAGAATATACCCACGTTCAATACACATATGTGTTTATATTTCACCCCTATAAACCTAGATACACCAGTTGCTGTGCTTTTCTTCTTCTATTCCCTCTCCCCCAGCCAGTCAGAAATTTGAACACTGCCCAGGAGAATTCCAGTGTTCTTAGCAGAACTATAAAGAGGAAAACACGGTTAATATTCAGAAATCTCCCCTTTCTTCCAAAGGATGCTTTGAAAGTCAATAGGCAAGGCCGTGGGGAGGGGAATTCAGCAGCGAGCGGGAGAGAGGGGCGGGCAGGTGACGCGTTCCCACGGAGGCCCCCGCCTGCCCCGCGGCTGGGGTGAGGGGTGGCACAGAGGGCGGCGGGGGTGGGGGGTCAGGCCCTGCCACGGGACACAGGTGTCCCCAAGAGGCCGCCGGCGCCCTGGCCGCGACAACAGAGGCCGTGCAGAAGTGCCGTCCACCCCCGCAGCCCCTTCCCCCGCTTGCCAGGAGCAGGTGTCCACGCGGGCAGAAGCTGCTGGCCTCTCTCCGGGGCCAGGTCATCCACCAGCAGTTGGCCGAGTGCGCTGGTGGCCGCACCGCAGAGCGGGGCTCGAGCCAAACCGGCTGGGTTGAGAGGCCAGGACAGCCCTTGCTCCCATCCCTCCGAAGTACCTCAGAAGCTTGGTCCCCAACCCCCCACCGGAGAGGAGGAAAGGGGGTGGCGGGGAAGCCAGGGATATGCCACAGATCATTAAAGGGAATTTAGAGTCACCTTACGAACTCCACCCAGGAGGTCGGAGACCCAGGAGTTGCCCTGGTCCTGCCTCCTTCTCACTCTGCCCGTTTAAGTCCCCCGGCTCTCCCTCAGCCGCCTGGGGCCGGCCCACCACATCCCTTCATCTTCACTGTCCCCACCGGGGCCAGGCCCCACGGTCTGTCAGTCTGCGAGGGCGGCCGGCCCGGGTACCGCGCGGACTGAGTGCCTCGCCGCAGCGTGTTCTCTTGTAGGTCTGGAGGCCACAAGCCTGAGACCAATGCGTCGGGGGAAGGGGGGGTGGCCTGTCTCCTGGACACGATGATTCTATCGCCTCCTGTGTCTCCACCCGGTCTCTCCCCGTGTGCGTGTCTGAGTCCTCATCTCTTCCTATAAGGAGACCCGTAATCCTGGGTGGGGGCTCACCCTAATGACTTCATTTAACCTGAACTGCCTCTTTCAAGGCCCTGCCTCCAAATACAGTGCCATTCTGAGGTACTGGGCCCTCGGACCTCCCATGTGAATAGTCGGGAAACAATCCAGCCCCTGACACTTGGACCAATGTGAGAGAAAAGGGAGATGCAAATGTCTGACAACTGCTCTCCCCACTTCCGTCTTTGCCCCCTCTCCGATTCGCTCTCCACGCGGGATCCTGAGGGAATGTTTAAAAATATAAATCTTACCATCTTATTCCTCTGCCTCCAACTCTTGAGTGCCTTCCTACCCCACTTAGAACAAAACCCGACCCCTTGGCCTGCAGGGCCTGGCCCCAGTCCACTGCGTCAGCCTCCTCTCGTGTCCCTCCCCCGTCAGCCACCACGCCGCCATCCCACCCAACTTCTCTCGGTTCCCAGGGCAAGCCAAGCCTTTACACCACTCAGAGGCTTTGTACACGTGGTGTGCTTGCCAGAAAGTTCCTTCCTGCTGCGTGTCCCATGCCTGTCCCCTTTCTAGTCTTCCTGTCTTAAGTTAAATGTCCCCCGACCTGGTTATTCTCTGTGACAGCGTCCTTCACGGTGCTCACATATGACCGTCGTCCCTTTGTCGGATCATCTACTTTCTGCCCGTTTTTTGTTTCTTCTACTTGAATGTGAGATTCATGAGGGCAGAGACTTTGTCTCCTTTCCGTGGCTTTCTCTCTAGCACCTGGAAGAGTGCCTGGCATACTACGGGTGCTCTGCAAACACTAACTGCATGTGTGATCGTGCCAGAGTAAATTATGTGCAAAAATGGCCCCTCCAAGGAACTGAATGATTTGCTGTCGTATAACATTGTTGGATACGTGTTCATTAAACTTCAAAGACTTCTGCCAAAATGACTAATGTAGAATAGTTATTCTTGAACCTTCCTTTGTGGCCATAGTGGAAGAGCAGGAGCGATTTCCTGTTGAAAGCGTTTCCAGTTCCCCACGACTAAATCATCTCATCAGTGGAGGAGAGCACGCCCCTTTAATTGTCTAGGGCAGGACCAGCTGGCCATTCGAGTGCCACATTGGAGTGGCGCAGACTTTGGCATTGACATACTCAATTGCTTTGAATCTTGTCTCTGCTAGTATAAGCTGCATGGCCCAGCAAGGTCGAAACTCCCTGAGCCTCCCTCTCCTTTATAAGTAGACTGGAGAGAAAGGGACCCACCTCTCAGGAATATACAGAGATTAAATGACATAATAAAAAAAATTGAAATGAAATAAATGACATAATAAGGTGCCCAACATAGTTCTCCACACATGGTGAAGGTGACTGAGTGGCAGCCATTATTATGGACCCAGGAAGCAGCGATGCAGGACTTTGGAGCAGAGTCATGGAAGCAAAGAACAGGAGATAAATTAAATGCATGATTGTGAGATGGCACTGATAAAATCTGTAATTATTTGGATTGAGTGTGAGAGATGAAGCAACATTAATTGAACGGAACTTGAAATTTCTGGCCAGATGATTGTGCAGTCATGTGCTGTCATGTCGTCAACAGACACTTCCACACAAAAGCTGCTCCACAAAGGATTTTGAATTCAGATAACTCACTGCTTGATTTTTTAGCTCCAGATAGCCTTAAAATGGGCTTTACTGGTATTTAAGAATTCCTAATAAGACCTATTCACTTCCTGGCCAGTGGGAAAAAGCAATCTGAAGCAATAGGGAAAGCTGGAGTGTTTTTCCCTTTTGTGTATATCTAAGTTTTATTCATTGTCTGGTCTTATTTCATACGTGAATGAATCTTCCCATTTCTTTTGCACTGTAAGGGGAAATGCTCCTCCAGCTGTCCTCCCAAGGTTACAGATTTAGGCTCAAGCCCCCCACCCCCAAAGACCTCCACGGGGTTCGATGGGGGTCCTCTGTTGTCCAGGACTCTCAGACAGGTGCATGCCGAAACTATGTACTGAAAAAAGCACAGAAAGCGGTGTCCCTGAGAATT